AGAATTTTTATAATTTTTTCCCGCGATAAAATCATTTGAAACTTGTTCCAGATCACAAATAGAGCATAATTTATTTCTACAAACATCCAGATGTGTGAAGAAATAAATACAAATTTTTTTTTGAGAAGACAAATTAAGTGTCATTTTTTTTCAAAAATACCCATAATTGTGAAGAAATAAATACTAAACATTTTTTAAGAGGCATTTGCTTAGGCTAAACCATGCCACGTTAAGAGCATATATATGGTTAACATAATGGAGGACAATTTGCAAATATTTAATAATTATTTGCAAATGAGGAAGTTTGTTTCAAAATTGAAATTTACTTTTGTAATTTAATTTTTCTTTTTCTTTAGTAAGCTTTGTAAATATTAATTTTTGAACAGCGCATAGTGAGGTTATTTAGCATAACTAGGTTTACGTGAAATAGTGCTTTTCAACGCTTTGTCACCCATTGTCCCTGTCATAACAAATTTTCTCTAAAAGTATTTTGTAGTTGGAGCAGGTGTGACAAATCGGGTAACATTGATATTATATGATAATTTTTATTGACTTTTTTAATATTTAGCAATAATGAAACTCATGATTAGAGTTTTACCAATACGTATTTAATGTAACACAATGAATATTATATGCCCTACATATTTCGTATATGTTAAGGTATTTAAGCATTTTACACTTGATATGACAGAAGTTGACCATTTTAGTTTGCACCACTAATAATTCATTAAGTTCTTCTTATTATATTCCTTAGTTAGCGCTGCTGCTTTTTTACGAAAGAATATTAAAAAAAAAATATTTATTTTCAGAATGCACAAAATTAAAATTACACTGTTGGAGTTTTTATTCTAATATTATGGTAAAATAAACGACAACAGTTTGTCCATCCAATTAACCGTAAGGTTTATGGTGAAGAATATTTTTTTTAATTTTACGGCTTTCTAACAATTTACAACAAGTATGGTTAAAAAATCATGATTACCTAACAATGCGATTTTTTAAACCATTTTCAACTGGTATGGTTTCAAAACTGAAAAAAATTACTGAAAAATGTAGATACGTTAACAGTTTTATGGTGCTACTATCTATGTTTGAATGAGTGTATCATATTCTAATAGCCTAGGGTTACAAATTGGGGAGCGCCGTGTCACTGGAGACTTTTTTTGTGTTGAATAGAATGGAGGAAATATTGTGGTGTCAACGCCGGGACTCGAACCCATGTTTCGTTGGTCATGATATTGACAGATTAACTCTCTCGGCTACAATTTGAACCTATCTGCATCAAGGAACTAAGAGGCAACGTTTGGCGGTGTGATAAAATTCTGTTTGTTTAACCGTATTAGGTGAAAGCAATTAATAAACGGTTTTTCTCACAGTTAAAATATTTAATATCATCTTATTTATGGTTATTTGACAGTTACGTTTGAATATGGTAAAATAACATTTAAATAAAATTTTATCTAGCCATTTTTTCCGAGAAACTTTAAACAGTGTTTCGGAAAAACTGTACTTAATATATTAAATAAGATTATGAACTAGGAATAAATTTAGCTATCACATGTTCATTTAAAGGAATTAAAATATTATATATATATTATGCTAGTTTTCAGCAAATGATGTAAGTTTTTGAATTAATATTTTTATAAGATATTAAAAATGAATAGGTTTGTTTTTATAATTTGAAGGGAAAACTTTCTTGCACTTTTATTGCGCTAGATTTTACTCTTAATATTTTTTCCCCAAATATAATAGAAGAATACTAGAGATAACATTTCTCTAAATTTTAATTAACTTAAAACACTAATTACTTCAACAAATATACTTGAAGTATTTAAGTACTTTAGTATGTTTTTTGAGTAAAATAAGGGCTTTAATGTGTTTCTTGATTGTAAGTAATGTGTAGATATTTTTTAATTTTTTTTTATTTAAAAATATTTTACAAACTATGCATTACTTTCTTGAATGTCACATTTTATAAAATATTAATTTAAACAAAATATTGAAAAAGAAAATTAGCTAAAATGCATTCAATTTTGAATATTTTCACTAAGCATATTTAGTCAATCGAATAAAGATTTGACAATTTCTCTTTGTAAAAAATTTCAACCAATACATTTCATTGGATTTCAGAATACTGTAATTGAAATCTTTTGCATGTGAGGGAACTATACAAACCAGACGTTTGTGTAAACAGTTTTTAAAGAGAAACGTTGTATGATAAAGGTGAAGAATTGCATGAATATATATACAAAAGTATTAAAACAAAATGTAACATATTTTATTGGGCAAAAAATTAATTCAAATACACTTAATTTTGCATACATTCACTAAGGACATTTAGAGAAACAATAAATATTTACAAAACATTTATTCTTAAATGTTGCACTATATATAAATGAAAACATAATGATGCATTTTTACTTACTTAATACATATAATACTACAAAATGTACAAAATATTCACAAACAAGTGACTGTAAATTTAGTTTCTTTGCTAAATATATAGCAAAAAAAAGGTTTTGGGCACATTCCAACATATAACATTTTACAAAAAGCTTATTGTTAAAAGAAATGATGTGTATATGGTTATGTTAAAAATGAAAAAAGAAGATTCTTATACCAATATAAAATAAAAATGCATTGTAATATTAATCATCGATACGCAAATGCCTGTCGGAAAAATATTATCTATGAAGTACAAAACAATGTTTTGAGAATTTAATGTATTGAGTTTGACACTTAACAAATTATATTGAATAAAACATGAATCATTGTATTATGTATTAAGATTTTTTAGACTGTCAATCATTTGTGGTCATCTTGTACGTCGCTTGGGGCAAGCTGATTTTCTTAAATAAATTATTGCGAGGGAGGAAGGGTTGCTCCTATATTTGTTTATTTATCACGAAATGTTTTAGAAATTTGATAATACGGGATGTTCTGTAATGACCACCCTCAAAGTATATATCATTTCCCTTTCAAAAATAAAATTGAAAAAGTATACACATCGAAGATCGCAAATTAATATACAAGCCAGGAAAAAAATTATCAACATCAAAATCTGATGAATAAATATGATTGGTAAAGATGAGGCAAAAAACACCGAAAGTTTCCTCACTTATAAGAGGCATAAGATTAGGCGCGTGACATCACAAAAGAAACGGAAGCCTGATTATTCTAATCCGATATTCCTATCCTGATTTCGGGCAAGTATTGTCAGTCGAAGACAACAAGTCAGACCAAGATTCAGATGCGTAATGATTGACTTCTATTATTGGTTTCCCATAATAATATTTCCTATCCTTGCAATATGGAATTTTTCATTTCAGAAATAGTGTGAATTCAATAACTCTTTTCTTCAGGCTTGTGACATCAGAGGACAGCTTTCAGGCGTCTGTTTTCAGTCGTCGAGTAAATGGGGTGCACGCCTCATAACTGTTCACGCTTAAATGTTTAGAATTCCCTCATCAGTGAGGCACTATCCAAAAAGGATCACCCGGTTCTATTATAATAACATGCTCTGCTTTGTACATGTTTGAGAAAGGGAAAGCCTCTTCACCAGCTTCAGAATCGGTGTTTGTTTATATTCAGAGCAAAAAAGAGGACTTTAGGAAACCGCTCTTCCCTTTGACTTCATGACCGGTTAACAGTTAATTTATTGACGTCATAAAATGAAAAATTGACTAATTACCCATTGCTATTTAACTCATATGTTTTTTTTCAGTAGTTTTTTTTTTATGATTTAAATATTATGTTGTGATTTCGAACATGTATATTTTAACTTAGTGTTTGATAAGAATTCTTAATTTAGGGTGTTGGTATTTTGTACCGTAAAATCAAATTTTACCGTAAACATCTGCAAAAAAATAGGATATTCTGTAATTTTCACATTAACATTTAATATATTACCGTAATTAAATAAAAGTTACCGTAAAAATAACGGTATAAAATTTTACGTTTAAAACTACTGGCACCCTGTGTACGACAATAACTATTAGCATTTCCCTAATAATTCTGTTATTTTCGTGTTGTATTTCATATTTGATTTGTTAGTTGATATGTTATTTTAAACTTAATGCTTTCGTCAAAATTTGTATCCCTAAATAATTGACTTTCAGAAAAAAAAATTCGAAATTTTATGAAATGTTCCCTTGAAACATTTGTCAGAAAACTGTTACGTCAAAACCAAAGACAATTTAATGGACTTTGAACGTTAATTTCTTTTTATGTTAAAGTCGAGGATGTTCTGGATAGAGAAAAATTAAGAGGAAAGAAGTTATATCTTTATATGTAAAATAAAAAAGTAAATTCACGGAAAATAAAATTCAATTTTTAAAAAAATGTTTATTTCATTTATCTATTTATCCTGTCAAAAGCAATTATACCTCAATGGGTTGAAACAATTTAATAAGCGGATCTAATTCTAAGAATTAGAAAAAGAAAAAAATGTTTTCCAATTTAAACAAATTTTAATCAATGACTGAAAAATTTAAAAAGAAACTCACAAAGAAAAACTAAGAATTTTTTTTCACTCGGAGTTATTTTAAAATATCTGAAACTATTTCAAACTCTAACGTATATGCATAGTTTTTGCTTGAATGTATGCATAGAAACTTGGAAGATTTTTTAGCAAGTGGATGTTTCTTAAACACTTTCTTTATAGAAATAAAACCTCTAGGTTTGTTATAATAAACATGTTAAAAATAATATTCATAAAATGGGAAAATTTTATCAGAATTTTTTTATAGGAAGCGCATGCATTAAAAAAGAATAGCAAAAATTGTGGTGCATACATTATTATGTGCAATTGTGCATCATTTAGCTTTTTATTATTTTGAAAGAAGGAAAAGAGATTGAAAGTTTAGGACAACTTTTGGAAATAACTGAAAAATTGGAAACTACATCATTGTTGAGAAAGTAATGATTATTTTGTAACTAAAACGCTGTGTTGTGATACATATAGCAAATATACAGTGATAGTTTCGAAGAAATAGAAAAGATTTAAAAAAACTTGTTTTTTATTGGCTAACAGCTTGATAGTTATTAAGGATTAAACAACACTTCAACTCAAAACATTAATTAACATATTTTGCAATATTTACAGTTTTTTTTACACCTGTTTCTTTAAAAAATTACATATGCTTTAAAATATTAATGTAAAATAACCACTTATTTCATATGCATACATTTGAATACATGAAATATGCACAGAAATAACTAAAAATTAAATAGCTCGATGGTTTGATATCCTTTAATTGTTCAGCTTTAACAATGTACGTAATAATACTTTTGAACATAATAGTATGTCTTTTCAAATAATAACAACTTTTTTATTTATGTTTTTTTTAATTTTTTATCAATAATAACAATTACGAAAGCTAAATATGTAAGATTTATTTCAACAACCATATTTATCAAAAATTACATTGACTTAATTTCACTTAAAATATTAATTTGATTGATATAATGTGTATATCTTTTAAAATTATCTAGGCCATATAAAGCTCTTTGTATTGCTCTGTTTTGCAATAAGTAATATTTTCTTTAATATGACGAAATTGTATGATAGTTTTGTAAAATTTAAACGATTTCCAAACATATTGAAGGCAAACTAGCAGTTCATTCAAACAGTTATAAAGCAATAATATAATTTGAGAAACATTATTACTATTAATTATCACATTTTTCGCTTCATGAGTCATATTTACAAGTTATTATTTTTCTCTGGTCATCTGACCGCAGATTTATATTCCTTCGGTTTGCATGATTTGAAACACCGAAATATTTCTAAGAAAAACTTTATTCTTGTGAAAAATTTACAAATTTTGATTAATATCCATTACTTATTTTTAGGGATGCTTTAGTACACCTAAATTCTCTAATGTATACACGGAAAGCATTAGAGATGAACTCGGGTTCAATCTTGAAAGTCCATGCCCATTCGATTCCGAAAACTTCTAATCCAACTTCAGAATTAGGTATTTTTCAAGGCCAAGCCTGTCAGAAATTTAGTATGTTTGATAAAGGCAAAATTCGAAAAAAGAGATATAAGCCCGGAATAGACGATTTATTAGAACTTACTCGATTTCGAATAATAATATTTATGCTTCGAAATAGTTTATGCTAAATATTTTTTTTTTACTTAATGACAGAGCGAAATGCAGTTTTATAATTTTTGTTCTGTTTAAAAGCAGTAAGAAAGTATTTGAATTCCTTTTATCATGAGCCAGGCCCCGAACGTAGCTTCAGTACATTGTAATAAATTCCAGATCAAATTACAGTAAAAAGTACTGACTACCTGATTACAGCATCCATAAAATCCATTTTATCACGAGATCCAGTTTTACCGTGAAATTTTATGCCGTAATTTTTGCAGCAATATTAATTTAATTATAATGATTCAGTGATTTCACGGTGCATATTACTGTAAAAATTACGGGGCAGCAAATGTTCAGTTCTATAAAATTTTACGAAAAAGAATTCTGTTACCCTGAGTACCAGTTTCTTTTACAGTGTAGTCTTGTATATATTATACTCGAATATACTTTATGGATTGATTGTATTTAATGGATAATCTAGTATACATTAGATAATGTATAACAGCATACCATAAAATTTATCTAGATATGGAAATATAAAGTAAATTCCGTCTTGCTTTTGTTAACGTAGAGATTTGATTGGCTATTTAGGAAATATAATAAACTTAGCATTTTAAATCAATATTTACAGAATACTATATACACTATACATGCAAGCAAAGCAAGATCCTGTTTTTTTTAACTTTTAACAATTGTTTTGTTGTTTATTTGTTAACAATTGTTTCAAATCAATCTATCGTTGAATTGTTTTACGCAAAAGTTCATAAAAACAATCAACATTGACTTGGAAACTATAAAATACTGATGATAAAATTCAATTGAGAACAATATGCAGTATCACATAAAAAATTATTTTTTTAAAATATGAAACAGAGAAATTTTTGCTTCTCACTTGATTCTTAAAGTTAATTTTTAGCAATATTATTTAAAAAATGGAAGCTGGCATCATAACTATTCAGGTCCAACTCACCACATAAACTCATATATCTCTACAGAGTGTTCTCTAAAAACCACTTTGGCATTGTCGTTTTAGTTTCCTTGTCAAAATTTTATAGCTACCATTGTTAGTAAATGTAAAATTTAGGTGAAAATAAAACAAATGCATAAGCTGGTGAAGACCATTAAAACTGTTATTGTACTTTCCAACTTATTAGCCACAAGTTTGCCCAAGCTTATGGATTTTATTTATTAATAAAATCTTAAGCACAAAGCTTAAAGATTTTGAAATAAATGTTAGATGTGAAGATTTAAATTCAGTATGAACATTAGCTGACCTGAACAGTGATGCGTGAAATCTGATAACTTTTTTCCCTTTTTTTTTCTCTTTTTATTTGTTTACGACACTTTATATACAGAATCAACTGACTATATTTTTGACAAAAATTCTAACGTATAAGCCAAAAGTGAGGATTAGTCAACACCCTGTGTATTTCTTAGTTTCTTAACAATCCATTTGTCCGATCAAAACTATATATAAATGAAATCAATGGAAGAATTACAATGGTTGAAAAATCAACTTATTTACAACATGTCGTCTTGTACTGCCAAATGATTGGCTGAATTGCTTCTTTTAGGAAGATTAACAACTGACGTAGTAGTGGTGAAGCTTGTGCAGCTATCTCTGGGGCCTTTATGGTTGTAGAGGGCCACACTTTCACTATGTCTCGGCGATAAATGACCAACCGAATGCCTCGGGTTTTTGCCCACGGTTTTTTGAGTCCTCCATCTCTCAAAGTGGTGCTTCAATGAATTCTGAACCTGCATAAAATATAGGAACATACTTAGGGTGTTCCATAATGACCACTCTTAATGTATATTTTCTGAATCTTCAACTGAAAAAGTACACATATGGGAGAGACTAAATAATATTTAGGCAGGAAAAGAAAAAGAATCGAACTCTGACAAATTACTGCTGAGTAGGACAAGGATAAAAAAAAATGTTTGATTGTTGATGGAAACTAACAGTAGTTGAAAGATTATTTTTGAAAAAACCATCCAGGTTAAAATGCAAATTAAACAGGATTTAGTTTAAAGGGTATTTGAATTCCTCATTAGTAAATATTAGAATTTTTTTTTGCATTGATTAAATATTAATTTCCGTCATCTCTATGTGTATACTATTTGGCCTTAGTTTAAACAACAATTCGAAAAACGTATATTAAGAGCGATTATTATGAAGCTCCCTAGAGATTTTATGAGAAAATAAATAATTTGGAACTATCTAGATTCTGAGGCTTCTATCTATTAAAGTTGAAGGCTCGGGTAAACAATTCCACAATTTACTATAACAAAAAAAAAGAAACATAATGGAAAATAAACTCTTAAAAATTATAAAATTTATTTTATTAGAATTAATTTTTGTTTTTCTCTAATCAGTTGGAAAAAATTACTAACAGATATCACTTTCGCTTTTAAACCAGGTTTCCAGGATTTAATACCTGATGCTAACGAAGTACCAATTCACTCCGGATCCTTTAATTATACGTTGTATTTAAATTCTTAATCAAATAAATATTTTCAATTAAGCTTGATATTTTTGACGGAAGTTTTATTAGTGATTCATCAGAAAAAGAGTTTTATTTGTGTTTTCCTGAAATTTTTCCTATTTAAGTTTAATTTAAAGAAAACATGGAGAAATATTTTTTGTAAAATTACGGTATTTTAAGAGTGATATTTCTGGAAAAAAAAACACAATTCTGGATAGCAAAACAAAAACAAAGTTACTTGAATCAGTCATTTAGAAATTTTTCCATTAAGATGGTACGGGTTTACCGAGAATAGTAATTTTCAAAATTATAAATCCCTTTATCGCACATTTTGTAATAAAATACAAAAATAAAATGCAAATTTTGCCAAATAAGTGGTTTTCATGCCATTCTTTTAATTAACATGATAAAAGTACCAAGTTTGTAAATTTTACTGAAATCGTTACCAAATAGCTTCAGTAAAATTTACCGAACTTTTCGATGTTCCAATAGAGCCAAAAACACGGTAAGTTTTACCATGTTCTGTTAGTTTTCGCCAAACCTTTTTTCTCAGTGAAAATGCAAGTTTTAAACGCATTTAGATTTTATGTACTTTTATAACACTAAAAACAACATTTGTATAAATTAAACGTGGTAAAATACTTATTTCTGATCATTATTCGGTTCTCCGTATGTAGCGTAAAAAGCTCACTACGTAGTAAATATAAAAATTAGCTTACCTCACCATTCAAGAAACAATATAAGACAGCAACTACAAATCCCTAAGAAAGAGCAAAAAAGAAAAAAGAATAGTTTTTGAAAACTCTGTGAATTATGTACAGTTTTTTATGTACAATTTGAGCTTTTGACATAAACTTTTTACTATACATATTTTTCATATTATTTCCTTAATTTTGCACTAGTTTAAGTCAAAAACAAGTTTAGCATTTTAATAATTTATGGTTTTGAAATACCGTATGAAACACTGGCGTCTCTTTCTGAGTTAAAGCTAAAATCTTCCTAACATCACTTCTTCAGTTCCAAGCAGTAATTTTTCAAATTTTTACTTATTTTCAGTTATTTATGTATATCCAAGAAAAAAAGTTATTCCTCGCTGAAAATTCTTTAATTTTTAAAACCAATTATTGATAAATCTGATTGAAAACGAAATCGAATTACTTTTTTGTGGATATTTTATATTTTAGTACGAATATGAATTACAGTTCGATTTTTTTAGTAACCCTTAGACTGTTTTTTCATAATTAAAAAATACCTCAGTATATTTTGTATGTAATTAGAGCGTCAGAAAAAAATATATATAAGGGACAACGGCGTTCCGTCTACTTCACAGAGTTAAAAAATTTACTTAAGCCGAAAGACAATGCCAGTTACATATAATTGTGAAAAACATTGATTGTTTCAAACAAGACAAAAGATAAGTATTTCTGGAAAAAAATATAAGTATTCAAATAAGTATTCAAAAAATAAGTATTACGTTTTCGATTTTAACATTTATAGAAATCTGCTTTTAAAGCAATAAAAGAAATCGGAGTTATCGTATTAAGCAGTTAAATTATTTTGAGGTTTGAAAAAGAAATCTCTCGTAAAAACCCTTAGTTCAATATAATATTAAGATAACTTTTCTGTAAGACAACCCTTACCAATAGGTTTGGTTTGTCAACACGGTTACTTAAGAAATTATTTATTTACATGATTTCAAATCCATTTCTAAGTAATCAAATCAAAAAAGAAACGGGAAATATAACTTCAAATCAAAAATAATTTGTTATCTGCTGAAGTTACCAAAGATATATTAAAGTTAATCCACTTAGAAAAATTTCACCACAGTTTTATTTATTATAATTATATTTACTGTCTTTTCAAGAAGTTTATAAATGTTTGATTTTTTACAGCCAAACATTTAAGCAATTTCCTTGAAGAAGGGAAAGATTAGTGTTTTTCGTAGGAAACAAACACACTTTGTGTTTGCATAATTAAGGATGATTTGAAAGAAATATACCTGTATAGACAAAAGCGTTGCTTGAATATAGATGAAGACTACTTCGGCAAGTGGCTCAGTGGGTGTGGCTATCACTATAATGTAGGTTACACCCAACAGAGGTATCAGTACCAGAAGAGCTTTTGCAGCTTTCCTGCGCAATTACAGAAATGCTGAGTAACTTAGAACATTAAGAGTATTTACATATATTTATTGATCAATGACATAATTTTAACATTATGATATATTTTTTGTTGGCAAAATTAAAACATTTTTAAATAATAGGAAATAACACTCTTTAAGCAAATCCGAAAATTTTTGCACAAAATTAGGAAATTAGCTTATCCAAAGAAAATTTAATGTAGAAAATATTTTTTGATAATTATTTATAACTTTTTATTAATTAACTTACTAACACTCGAATCTATTGTGAAGTACGTATACAAATTTTTATATTATTTAAAATGTGAAACTTCAAATGACAAAATACAAAATTTTAACAAATTCAGTTATCTAATTTTAAACAGTGATTCCATTTAGATATTTTGATTTTCCATTATGGACTATAAAATAAAGAGTTTTGTTGCAATTTGATTTGTGTGTTATTGTCCTCTAATTAAAAAAAAAATTAAAAATTGCAAAAGCTTGACAATCATTTTTAATTCATGAAGGCTGAACTCTACCATAACTTACTTGGTTCATATCCTTATGAATGAGTTAACGAAAGCCCTTTTTCTTAAACTAATATTATTTATACTTTTAAATATTAAGAAGCTAAGATGCATAGAAATTGTTAGCGTGCAATAAACGGACAATTTAATAAAGGCTATGATAACGGCGTGTGCCAATACTTTTTACCGTAAAATTCCCTTTTACTTTGATTTTTTTTGGAGCGAAAAATTCTAATATGCTGCATTTTTTACAGTAATATTGATTGTGAAATCAGTGTAATTAAATAAATATTTCTGTAAAAATTCTGATACAACATTTTTTGGTAAAAACAGATTTTACGATAATAAGCATTTTACGATAAAAATGATTTTACGGATGTTGCACTCGGGGTGGCAGGACTTTTGTTATTTGATCCAGAATTTTTTTACATATTTAATAGATATCCTACGTCTAAATAGTAATTGATTTTTACTGAGCGTAGTTTTCATTTCATTGGTAGATCATTTTGCAATATTCTTTGCTGTAAAATTTTCTTCTATCACACCCTCTCAGAACTAAAACGCTCAATTTTGACGTTTCAAGCTGAATTTTGCTCATTTTGAGTATCATTTGATCACGAAATCAAGTGATTCTCGCAAAAACACAAATTTTCAAATAAGTGACGAAAATATTTCCTCAACTCGAAACGAAATAAGAAGAGACTGACGAAATAAGCCGACCGGCGTGGATGGTAGTCAAAGTGTTGGCCTCATACCAAGAAGATCTCAGTTTGGGCATGGGTTTAACCTTGGCGAACAAAGAGTTAGTATCCTTTGGCCAAGGGTTTAACTTATTTATCTGTTCGATTTGTCCTTCTTTCGTTAGGGGGACATTGATCTATCTGTATGTTGCTGGGCCGGGATAGCCTGGTCGGTAGGGCGCTGGGCCCATATCCAAGAGGTCGTGGGTTCGATCCTCGCCGGCCGAAGACTCCCCGTGTAGTAAATGGTGACTGATGCACGTTAAATCTGTCGAGTCTCAAAGTCCTCCATGTTCCCACAACAAATCAATACCTCTGGGGGTACTGATCCAGGAGTTTCCTTGTCTTCTGGATTGGTTCAAAATTACAAGGCTACGGAGTTGAACGTAAGTAGTCGTAAACCCATGAAATTGGGTCTGCTGTACAACGACGGTTATAAAATAAAAAAAAATCTGTATGTTGCCCACTATAGAGTTATTATTACAAGACGCTACGAGTTTGTTTGCTTGTTTTTTCTATTGTTTTGGTTTCTTTTGTAAAGGAATAGAATGACGTAATATTTTATTAATTTTCACGAAATTCGTTTCTTCGAAGAAGTGGTAACAGTTATTTCGCATCATTTACGATAGTTTTCCTCGGGGTGCATAAAAATATACCATGAAAAGGTACTTAGTATATACCCCTAGCAAATTTTGGTGCGTCAAAACGAAGAAAGTTTCGTAATGTTTGAGTATTCATTTTTTAAAGTGGAGCCACTGCAAAACAGCTTGTATATTAAGCCATAAATCTTACTTTTCATAAATTTAAATTTTATGTTTAAAAAAATAATAAAATCTATTCAAGTAAAGCAAACTAATGAAAAAAAATATTTAATCAGCATGCCTCAAATTCAATATTTGTCTGCACAAAATTTAGGTTTCGATAAATAGTCAAAGTAGTAAATTTAATTAATGAGATAATTGATAAGATTATTTTATAAAATTAATTTTGTGAGAGATCGCTAAAGACTCACTTTTATTTTACTTAGCACGATTTATATCTTTTTTTAAGAAAAAAAAAACCTTTTATCTTACATCCTCATCTTTCATCTCCTTTTCGGTAAAATTAATCTGATTTCAGTTAAAGTTATTTAAAATATTGCAATTTAAAAAAAAAAAAAACAAATAGTACTAGCAAAAGAATGTTCAGAAGGTGTTGAGTTGAGTAATTAATGGGTTGGAAGTTTTTACATTTTATGTTTCTTCACTAAAAAAATTTAAAAAAAAACTATTTTGAGTAATTAAAATTCTCCATAGGATCGAAAAACTCACAACGAAGAATATTCTTTAACGAACGTAATTTTTTAAAAAAAATCTCTAAAATACCAAATTCTAATTAACTACTAAGCCTTATTCTTATCATTTGTCAGTACTCGCAGTTAAACAAGTTTTATTTTTCATGAAAGCCATAAAAAGAAATATTAAGGAAAATGTTTCTGATATTTTTATAAAAATGAGGTTTCTTTATCGCTATAAAAATTCTTAATCATAATAAATCTAGTAAGGAATGTAAGCAAGCAATTTTTTAAATCTCTCGATTGTAATTTTTCAACATTTGTCTTGAAATATATTACCCAAAACGATAATAAAACTTATTATTTCAATGGCTTAACTTTCAGTCTTATTTTCATTTAAGAAATATTTTTAACACATTTTTTCTCAGATTCACGTTTATACAGATACCGTAATTGAGGCTTTACAAAATTTTAAATGTTCTGCATAAGTTTTTTTTTAACTTTAAACTGCGAAAATTCATTGCTTACTACAAAAAAAAAAAGATTTTTGTGAAATAGAAAAAAAATAACATTTAATTGAACGTAACAGATTTTTATTTATGCAGGTGTTGGCCGTCTTTTCTTCCGTCAAAAGTCCAACGCTTCACCGTTTTACATAGACCTCCTCTTTCACAAGCACACAGTTTTGCGACTCCGCATTGACCTTTTTCGTCATTGGCATCACTGTTCTGAGTATATTGCATTTTGTAATATTTTAAATAAATATTTGAGGGATGAAATCGTTAATGAATTTACCACTTTAAATTATGCAGTTATTATAAGCGGATTGAAAAGAAATAGCGTTGCACATTTTAAATACAGAACAAAAGATTTGTTCAGATTGTGAAACTTTAAGATTAAAATGTTTCAGTCAAACGTTTTACGCGATTCTGTAACTAATTTTTGTTGAAATATGTAACTTTTTTGTTATACGCACCTGTTTTGGTTATGCGATACGCACCTGTACTGCTTAGATTCCACTGTGTTAGAAGCTCTCAGTTTTGTGATAAGCACCCACATTATTTTGGCAAGGAAGAAAATATTGATCTGAAAATTAATACAATAATAAATCAGAAAGTTTAAAATACAATATTATATCACAATTTTAAACTATTAATCACAGTAAAGTGATAGGAAAATAAATTACTATGAAAACTATTACATTTTAATATATTTCAAGACAGTATTCCAAAACATAACTGTAATTTTTAAAAAAAAATTATGTTAACATATTAAAAAAAGAAGGATGAATCAAAGAAGTAGCCTGAAAAAATTCAAGTAGTGTATCAAATATAGAATAGGCAACTAACGAATCTATTAAGGAAGACTCTATTTAAGCGAATCTTACGAATCTATTAAGGAAATCGTAAAAACAAGACTTTTTATTCAGCTTCAGGTTCTGAATTCAGGTACGTATTTAGCTTTCTTCAAATAACAGAAACAAAATTCAACCAAAGCATGTCAATACTGAATTATACTAGTTAAAGAGGATATCGTCTGTCTAACAGTAGAAGGGATGCCTTCTAATTTTGAATTCTTAGGTTAAAACCAATTTACGGTAGATTACAAATTTTTGAAGTACTGTTGCCACTATTTTTGGTGCTGATGTAACATATATTTTTAAGTGAATGTAGTCAAGTTTTTTATTTACTTTTTCTCTGCTATAATTTTATTTATTGATTTATTTTGTGTTTATTTGTTTACCAATAACATATATTTTAATGTGCATTAGATTTAATTTAAAAGCTTCATTGCAAAACCATTTCGTTAAAAAAAACAAGCACATTTTCAATATCATATTCGCCCTAGTTCTGTCAAACAATTGCTATTTCATCAATTTTATATAATTGTTTGCACGTATGAGCACATTTCTGTAGATAATACTTATTTAGTTTACCTCAAAGCCAGAAAATGGTGGCAAGTATAAAGATTTTTTTTTACTGTTTAACAATTATTGATTAATCTTTTTGCCTAATTTTAATTTACTATTGTTGAATAGAAGCCAAAAGTAATGTAAAATTTAGGTGATTAATCAACGGCAGAATCTTCGTGTTACTATTACAGTATTCTTTACTATAATATCCATTTTTACTGAAATATGTTACAAAACAGAGAAATTTTTTTATTTACAGTCATTTTTACTGAATAATTACCGTAAAATCACTCTAAGTAAATATAACCTCGAAAATTATGGTTTATAGTTTTACGGTAAAAATGGATTTGACGGTATAAAGGGATTTTAAGGCTTATACACCAAAGTGCTAATCCTTCACACTGTAATTTGATCCAGAATTTTTTACAGCTTGGGGATGTTCTATGGTCTTAGGTGAAAATTTTATCAAACAATTCACTGTTCAGAGTTGATTTTCTCATGCAATTAGCTTTTCAAAGAATTTTCTTATCTTACTAAGCGTTATAACTTTTCTTTGGTAAAAGTAAATGCGGAGAGTAATCGATAGTTATACCGATGATAACGAAGTAATGGACCTGTCAAAGGATTAATTTCTCTAAACACCGTGGGGCACCATGATAGCCTTATAAAGATTCCAGATAGAATCATTAGAGGATTATCATCATCATTAAGACTATCGAACTTAAGAAATCGTTAGCAAGATTTTCCCATTAAATTTCGTACTCTGGAGATTTTCTTTGGTGATCATAGGCGAAATTTCAAAATATAATTCTCGAGATGTACCTCCCATTCACCACGGTACAAAATAGTCTAAAAAAAAAAAAAAAAAAAAACTTTCAAAAAATATTGATTAACCGTATTTTATGTAATTCATAGGGTTTTGGAGAGTTATAAGTTATGAATATGAAATTAGATTTGCAAAATTCAATATGGCGTAAAATAATTTTAATGAATCTTGCAAAGTATTATCGTAACAATGTGATAAAGGAGTAACTATTTATTTTCAGGATTCATTATTACTTATAGGAGAAAATTTAAAATCAAATTAATTTTTATGTGTGCAAAATAAAAAATTTACTGTATGGTAATGACATTTCTGGTACAGTAAAAAAAACATAATTTAGGCTAATAAAACCAGAAAATGAATTGATCATTCATTTGGCTAATTTTTCGTCCATATAGTAACGGCTTACTGGAAACTTTGGTTTTCAAATTTATAGTTCTATTACTTCACATTTTGTAAAAAATACAAAATCGATGAGTAAATTCAATCGAATAAATAGTTGTTATACCATGCTCTAAGGTATTATGATAAAAATACTAAAATTTTCCAAATTTACCAAATTTTAACATAGATTATAAAATAATATTTTATTGTTAATTTTTTTAAAAATCTTTACCAAAGCTTGTCATTAAAAATTACCGAGCTTTTTGTTGTACACATAGAGCAAGAAAAACTGAAACTTTTTCAATATTCAGATAGTCTTTACCATACTTTTTTTTCGCAGTGCGGTCTATTTCTAAAAATTTAAATGAAGATATAAGAGTTATAACTTTTATTGAAATGAATTCTTAAGGAAATAAATTTAAAATTTTAGAAATAAATTTTATCCGTGGGATTGAAAAACAAATATTATTTTAGAGAAAATTTATAAAATACTAAACATGTTTCAAAATTACGCGTATGAAGCACACAATTTACTCATCTTGCATATTATTTGCTAAACAATCAAGCAATGTTGCTTAAGTAGTTACTTAAGCAATGTTACATTTTAAAAACTAATTTCATTTTTCTTATCTTTTTTTCCTAGACAGCATAGATAATAGTGAATATGTTCACTGAAAAAATATCGTTTAAATCATTTAAAAAAAATGCATAAAATGACTGAAAAATATATGAAATTGCTTAAAATTTCATTCTGACAAACTTTAAATTTTCTTTATCTGAAATTAGTCTGTCTAATAAGTTATGAATCGAATCATACCATCAAAACTAGATGCACACTGAGAACTTTTAACAAGGTATCATCCTGTTTTGAAAGGAAAGGTTGCATTCTTGAAATATGCAAAAAAAAAACTTCTTTTCAAATCAACATCCCAAACTATTGCTTTCTGTTCACTTCAAGATTAAATAATCTAGCCACGTATCTCTCTGTTTTTAAATATATCTATCTATGTACAAGATTTACTGGCACAAATAAAACTCAATCACACGCTATATTTTTATTTTAATTTCAATATTTCTTGACACAGATATGTGCAGCATTTGCTTTACATTGCATTTAACTTCCTTTACTAGAACAATGCACTCTTCTTCTCTCAAAGATGAACAACACATGAAATTTGAATAAATTTGAAATTCTACGAAATTTTGAATTTAAATAAGGCTTTTAAAGTGCATATAAGCGCAATGAAAATGCGAATCTTATGTATTCTACTCACATATTTGCATTCTTAAAACACAATGTTTTAACAAAAGAAAAATTATGTTATAAAAAATGAATTATGTAGTTAAAATCCCCCCCCCGGCAAAGAAAAACAGCCTGTTTTTAAAATAGAAAAAAACAAACTAAATGTTTTCTTTATTATTATATCGCAAGGCCATTTTTAAAATTTCTTTTCTATATTTAGTCACCTATTTTTTGATTTAGACCATTGTGCTCCCATTGAAGAGTAATTTTAGCAAAATTTATCAACACAAATAAAATTTTCGAGTCAAGCGCAATCAGAATATTTTTACATCTTGTCTTTTAAGATTCTTTTGTGCGAATATATGCAGCTAATGTTTTTTCATAGTATAAAAGTTTCTTTGTGAGACCTACACAATTTTAAAACTGCCATATGCGCTAAACTTTTTAGAGTCCCAAAATGTTTCTAAAAAAACAGAATTTTTAATACATGTTTTAAAGAAGCCTGTTAAGTGCAAATAAAATGCAATTTTTATCTATGATGTTTACTCATTGGATTTGTTAAACACCATATTTTAATAAGGCAAAAAAATACGTCAAAAATTTATTTTGTTGTCGGAATTTCCAAAATGTTATCTCTCTTCGTTCGTAAAGAAAAAAAATAAAAGTTTAGCAAGTTATTTAAGTAGAAACAATCAACTTAATTTTGTTTTGTTGCAGGACATTAAGAAGTAGAGAAAAAACTTTTTATTGAAATTTTTTTGATTCATACAACTGTGCGACGAGTCGAATAAAATGCTTATAACATTAAGTTTCAAAATTTCACATCCTAATGCTTAGCAATTAATCCATTTAGTGACCTCTTGGAGTAAATACTGAGTCATTTCTGATGAACTTTTAATGTCTAATGAATTCTTGAAAGTATTTGATGTCTAATGAATCCTGTTGTTTCAACAGTTGAAAGAACATCCAGTTCGAAGGGATAGTAATTAATATTTCGTTTCCCGAACATGGGTTTCAAATAAAGGTCACCACATGTCCCGCTTTTCTATTCTTCTTAAAGCAGATAAAATGTGCATGCTTACTTTTTTTGCTAATTGGCCCCAAAATAAATGCATATTTCGATATCGCAATTTAATTTCTGAACGAGAATTTTATTTGATACCAACATTTAATGCTACACTTGATGATATTAATTTCTAAGTAACATTTATCTCCAATTGTTTTTGTAAAAATAGCTCTAAATGATCAAGAAATTGTAAATAAAAGAATTGACGTTTCTGTAACATCAAAAAAAAAAATGATTCATATTTACCAAGAGCACCAACATAACAGGACAGCTGAACACGTAGTCATAGTTATCTTTGTTTTGCCATGGGCATCTGAAATAAATTATAACGCTTAAAATTTTTTTTATGGAGGACACTCACTGAACAACACCATTATACATAAAATATAGTTCTAAGTCATGGGCTGAAATCGCAACCTGGAACTATCCTTCCATACGAAGCAGATGGTTTCAAAATTAAACAAAAGATGTTCTACAGTTCCTCGCGAGCATTTAGATGACACAAATGCAAATTATTCAAATATTTGTGATCTTGTTAGGAAATATCTCTCATAATAAATAATTTAATTTTGTTGCGAAATAACTGTGCTAATTCTCGTAAAATTCAAGAGAAGATAGACGGAACAGTGACCAGTAAAGAACTTAAAAGTGCTGAACTATGTTAAATAAAGGTTATTCAACGAGAGTGATCAGAGATCAGGAAGAAGTGTGAAACTTCAAAGAAATTTTGTGAAGACGAAGGCCTACTGAGAGTCAAAACTCGCTTAGTTCTCGATGAAAGTTCAGAGGACTTTTAATGCCCCATTGTTCTACCTGATTATTCAATAACTCGGCGTTTCATTGAGCTTACGCATAAGACACTGAAGCATGCTGGTGTACTGACCATTCTAGGATATTTAAAAGAAAAATATTTGGCTCCTAGAAGAAGGAAGATTATCAGGGAAGGGATTTCCATGTGTAAGAGATACTCTGTGAAACATGCAACAACAGAGCGTGCCCAATTACCAGCCATTCGTGTTCAGAGAGGGCCTTTCAAGTCACAGGTGCAGATTTCACTGGCCCAGTCTTTCAGTGAGGTACAAGGGCTTGGATCATATTGTTTAGGTGTGCTATGTATCATGCCGTGAACCTTGAATTTGTTATGTCTTTGTCAACTGATGCCTTTATTCAAGCATTGCGAAGATTCATGGCTCGTTGAGGGAGATGCAATATCATTTTTACAGACCGAGGAACAAATTTTCTGGGTACCTCAAGAGCACTGCAAAATTTTGACTGCGAAGCTATTTAAGCTGATTGTGCAGTTCAACAAATTAAATGGAATTTTAACTCTCCAAGTGCACCTTGATACTGTGGATAGTAGGAGTGTCACATTAGAGTGTTAAGAAATCCTGTGCAAACGAATATCTGCAAGGTTAGCCATAATTGCGAAGAGATGCTTACAGTGGTTGACTACGAAAGTACCATAAATCAAAGACTGACACATCTGAGGATCCTGAAGAACCAAAAACTTTGCCCATTTTATGCGCGAAGTTGCTCCAACATTACATTGTGACACAGTTGATCTAGATCTAATTGACAGCAACCAATTACGAAATAGATTATGCTTCCTTCAAAAGGTTCGCGAGAGTTTTCGTTACAGGTTCCAGAGAGAATATCTATCTGCGTTGTTGAAAAGTCCCGAAGATAAGTAAGGCTCCAAATTGAAGGTAGCTGCTATAGTTCTTGTGGGATCTGATAATTCTAAAAAAAACCGAGTGGCCCTTAGCTCGGGTCGAGGAATTGATTTCGGGCAAAGATGGAAGACGAAGAATCGCTCGATTGACGCTGGTACGTATTACATTTATTCAGCCTATTTAATAACTGTATCCTCCAGAAATACTGTCCGAAGATTTAACATCCATCACTCATCTTGTCGAGTCACTTATTCCTGAAGTTCTGGAAACCCTATGGACTTTTGATGTAAAGTACACCCGAAGCGGTCTCCAAGTGAAGATTCCACAAAGACTAAACATTTGATTATTAAGAAATATTATCGACTTTACTTTAGAGCCTTTAAATATTTAAATATTACTCTCCAATGTTCTGTAAAGGCTACTTTCTCATACCAATTGTTGTAATATCACTTTAAGGATGTTTTTCTTCTCGCAAACATTTTCCCCTTTTGGTCTAATTTCATTATTTTATAAAATTTTGTTTTGCCTTAAATCAATGCAGATGGTGGGAGTGTTGAGAATCGATTTATATTTTAATCGTACTCGTTATGATTATATACTCAATAATTATCTACTCATTAAATAACTCAACAAGAAACTGTATCTGGCAACAGTATAATAAATTTTTTGGAAAAAATATGGTTATAGTCTGTAGATGATTAAGATTTGAGTATTAATTTGCATTGTGTTTAACTAATGAGGTTCGCTTATGTTATAAAGAGGTTCTGCTCGTAAAATGTAACAGTATATCGCAATGCATCGTAATATATTGCTTAAAGTTCAGACGCTTTATTTACTTTTATAATAAGAAATCTACTTAGTATTCGATCTTTCATACATTTTTTGGGTCTATTAATGTTACTTTTTTTCTTCAAAATTCTTGTGTTAAATTGGTGAAATTAATTGTGCTAACAGGGGCTCTACTCAAGACTTCTGGTAGGGCTTGCTTGTTTTTTCAGGATAGATGGTAAATTCGTTAAATATAATTTATTTGCTTTTAATTATTATGCAAAGCGTTGAATTTCATTTGTAATAGATTTTTTTTCTCACTGAAACGAAATGAACTTTAACTATTTTAAACTTCTCGAAATTAAAGGAATACACAGATCTAAAACAGTAAACAATAGATTCTAAAGCAAAAATTTAATTTTAGAAAATAATTTAGATTTAATAGTGTTCTTCAAGGATTATAAGACAGCATTAACAAATAAATGAGTGCTTACGTATCAAATTAAAAATTATTTTTTTAATATATTTGATTATTAGCTTGCCAAACAGTTTCATTGAACTATTTTAAGCCTAGATAAAATATTTTTTCTATTGAAAACTTTTATTTTCATGATATTGACACCCAGAAGTTGTAACTTAGCTGACATAAGTCTTTAACGTCTGTACTCAAATACATAATTTATGTACGTTTAGGGCATATATCCGCCTTTGGTAATTAGCCTCTAATCTTCTTACAAGAAACACGTTGACAATATATGTTGGCTACTTTTTTTTCAGCCAATATAAAATTGAACACCCAGGACTAATGAGTCATATTTTAATATCGAGTTGCATTTCCGAAAAATACATCGCGATATTTTCTCTATTAATCTAATTTCTACATTGTCACCCAAATAAAATGTAGCAACATTCACAATAGTATCGTATTCATTAACTATCGCTTGCATAATATTCGCGATATTGTAATGTTAGTCATGGTGGGTCAATGTTTAGATCTCTCGCCTCCCAATGAGGTGCCCGGGGTTCGAATCTCAGAGATGTCTGGTTGATACGAATTCCGCACCCTACTCGCACAGCCTACAGTGCTGACGTAAAATATCTTCAGGGTTAGATGGATCATGGGCTAGAGGTTCCTTGCTGTAAGGTTAACCGTGGGATGTTTCTGTGGTTTTACTCTCAATGTAACGCAAATGTAGGTTAATTCCATCAAAAAGTCCTACATGAATTCAAATTTTACCCAATATTTGATCCAGGAGTTCCTTTATCTTCTGGAGTAGGTCCAAAATTTAAATAGCACGGAGATGAACATTAGCAGTCGTGAACTCAAAATTTGGATCGGGTGTTCAACGATGAATATAAAATGAAAAATTGTCGTCATGTTTGATTCACTTATCATCGGTAGTCAGTGACCTCCGTAAACCAGAACCTGGTACTGCTCTACCAATAAGCGAACTCGGCTTCCAAGTACCAATAAAGGGAAAGTACAGATTTTTTGAAATAAAGCTTATGATATTTTCATTTAAAAGATGACAATATGAGGTTTTTGAAACATAAATTTCGGAATAAAAAAGGCGTGAACAATTGATAATTTTTATTAACAGTTGGTATTAAGATGTTTTATTATTGGAATTCGATAAATTCAAAAGCCTTGTAATGCCTTTCCTGCGTAATAAAAATAAGCTCTCATACTTTCAATATATATATATATGTTTTTATTGTTATTTTTACTTATTTTTACTTTTTGTGTTCTATTTTATTTGTTGTAATTTTTATAAAAAAAAATTTCTGAGTGCTTCTTACGCTATTGTATTAATATATTTTGCTTTGGCTATGTTGATACAATATCAGAAAGCACTCTGTTTTGCGGATATGATCGTGTGGGCTGATGAAAAGATTATATCTTTTTTTCCGGTTTTTTAAGTAAAATGTCATCCTTTTTTTTTCTTTTTTTAAACTGTTGTTTGTTATTTTTTTACTTATTATTTCCCCCCCCCTTTTTTTTTCTTCCTATGTCTATAATTTTTCTTTGTTTTATTCTTCATTTTGAACTTATCTCTATCTCTTTCTCTCTCTCTCTGTCTGTCTCTCTCTCTCTCTTTATATATATATATGTCAGTCGTAACCTTTTACAAAAGAAATAACGCAAAATTCTACAAAAACTAATTCACCATTTTATTATTCTTTTTCATCCATTGTNGAGGTTTCTAACAACTTTAAAAATAAACAGTGATTGATTCCTTAAAGTTATAACTTAATTGAACGAAAAATGCTAATTCATAGATAAATTTAAAAATATTGTATCTGCTATCAGAACCAACCTAAAAAATATATACATACATATATATATATATATCAAATGGAATTTATTCCTTTAAGTTCTTAGGCTGTTGGAATAATTTGAAATCAATTATTCGTATAACTTTTAATTTACTTTCCATTTCTAAAATGAATGGATGATATTTAATGTTATTTAAAACGGTATAAATATTAGCCATTTTGAATGCATTTCTCAATTCAAAGCCGTTCAAATACATTTTTCATAAAGTTGCTATTGAAATCTGAAAAGCAAATAAAACTGTTATAAACTATTTATTCAGATTTAAACAGGACGCACATCAAAAAAGATGAATAGCGTTTGTATGAAAAATTCCAACTATGTGTACAAAAGTTTGAAAGAGTAAAGGAGTATTTTTAAAAAAAAACACGTTTTGCGTAAAATGCTCTTACAGATTTAATTATTGAAAGGAAAAGCTGCTGTATTCAATCATGTAATTTGACAAGCTAATTAAAGGCAGGAAGGAAGGGTGCTTAATAAATTAAAGACTTAACATGGATATTTTAACAAGATGCTTAGGCAAATTGCCTGCCGAAACTGAATTAAAATTTTGATAGCTTTCAATTATTTGCTCTTAAAGAATGGTTCATTAATCTTGCAGCAATGTAAGAATAGCTACAGCATAAATTTACAAAACCATTAATCTGTTACACATCTTAATGTATCAAAAATTATTCATTATTTTCTAGTTCAATTTTTAAATAAGGAAGTAATAAAATTTTGGTTAAAAATTTAGGAAAACAACTTTGTGTCAAGGTGAGTTTTAATCATTATATAATGTAATATTTAAAGCCGTTGTTTCTTTATATTTAAGAAAACATCAATCGGCTGGGATAGCCTGGTAGGCAGAGTGCTGAACTCACGTTTGAGTGAACGAGAGTTCGATTCCAGTCGGTCGGAGACTGGTGCACGTTAACTCTGTCGGGTCACAATATCCTCTATATTCCCATAACAAATCAATATCTCTGGGGGTACTGAATTGGAGATAAATCATTCCCTGGTTCGGGCAAAATTACAATCTGTGGATGAATGGATGTATGAATGGGTCCGCCCTATACACGGGTGTGGCTTAAGTCGAATTCTTGGCCACCACTGGGAAACAAGAACAATCACACACCCTCTGCCTTAATGACCGACGGCAACAACAACAAAACAGTAACCATATTTTAATTAATGAACATTTTTAAACTTTATCTGGAAAACATTATTCGACATTAATAAACTACTGCTGCCAAATAATTTATGGTCCTAAAGAAAGATACTTTATTGTCTATTGTTTCAACAGCAAACCTTTAAAATGAACAATGAGTTAACGGTTTTGTGTTTAAATAGATTGTTTAGTGATTCAAAGCATTTCAATGAAATTTCTTAATACAAATAATTTAAAAACTTATTCTCATGATTGATTTGCTGTGCAATATAACAGGCAGTATTCATTGCCGGTGTGACATTGTGATGTCCTTTATATTAAGGATGATTAAGTATCAATTGTATGCTTTCCTTTTTAAAAGTATTTTGTTAATGAAGTTTATTTTAACAGAATTGACCACCTTATTTGAGAAAACAAATAAAAGCTTTTTCTTAAATAAAAGCTCTTGTATTTAATTTATCGGCTATTATGTATATAATTTTAATTTTATTTTCGTAAAAAAAAAGAACTAACTATAACTAAATTTGACGCATTTATTTTCAAGATTAACTAAAGTATAATTTATTATCGACTCAGAAGTTTAGAGTTGAGCTTGCTTCGCAGCAAATAACTACTTCAATAGTTAAGTTTGATACGCCATAAAAAGCAGAAAACCTGTATTTTAAAATATTGCCACAACAATACCTGAAAATCTCTCTCTATTTTTTAATCTTACGTGGCGAAAAAAAATTCTTTTTTGCGTAGAGTACAAAGAATTGAAATATCGAGTGCGTGAGCTGTCTTAAGCATAAAAGCGTAAAAGTCTATGTCTAAAAGTTTCTGATTGAAAATTCTTTTCTCGCGTGAACAACGAAGAGCTGAAGGGAACTGAGCTATAAATTGAGAAGAATTGGAAGGTAAAATAGTGAATAGTTCATATCAACAAATACAATATTTTATATTATGCTTTAGTTATACTCATGTAGGTTTAATCATGAAAATTTTACTCTTTGTAAAAGTAATTCATTAAAAATAAGTATTAGTCATTTTATTACGCTATTTAATTATAATATAAAAGTAGTTTCGAAGAACAGTAAGAAAGCGTTGATGATTTCTATAAAGGATATAGCATTGAAGAAATGCGTAAGATATACACCGTTGACATACATGTTTATTTTTTATACATAATTATTGTTTCGTTTCTTACAGTTTTTCTATTGCATGTCATTGTCATCTATATAAATTTAATTTTTTTTAACTTATTAATTCAACTTTAATTTTAACTTTATTAAAATAACTAAATTTTCAGGGTTTCAAAAATTAATTTTATTTTTTAGGATTTTAAGCTAGAACATGTTTCAAATGGGTTAAACTTAGTAGTCAGTGAAGCGAGCATGGTTTGCGTAGCAATCTTCGAAGACATCGACTGAGCCCATTGTTTTTGCATAACGGATTTAAAATGATTTTATTAGCTTTATTTAAATTTTTATGAGAGTTGGTGACAAAAAGATAACAATAATAAAATACTGTTATTTATTTCCTTTTTAACGTTAATTAAAAAAATAATATCTACGAAAAGTATGTTTACCCTTTTTGCGTGAAAGGTTCGTCAGCAGCAGCTCCTCCAGCAATTCCTTTCACTATAGCCCACGCTGCAGCAACAACTGCTGGGATTCCTGAAATAGATTGTACTTTTAACATGCTAATTTTGCAACATGTTAATTGAAGTGAAACTTCTAATGCGACTTCCAACAAGGTTGCGTTAAACGTTTAACGCAACGATACACAAAACAAAACATTAATAACAAGAAAAAGTTGCTTGGTTGCCTAGCAACCAGCTAGAGTTGCAGTTATTACATCAGCAGACGATTTAAAACAATTATTCTGTTTATTGATGACGGAACATCTTTATTGCCACTATCCACTGCAGGTTCACAAGCTCTGGCAGACGTTACTGGTGAAGAAATTGACTCTTGTGAACGGCCTGTGATCCTTGCTGGAGATTTTAATGTGAATTTCTCGTTACCTGAAGTTGAAACATTATTAACCTTCCTTAAAGACGAATTTGGATTGGAAATGATAAATGGTAGGAATAATCCAACAACCAAAGGGCAGCCATTGATGCAGTTTTTACAAGAAATATTGAAAAAATAGAACTCAAACATTTCGTACCTTGCTTTAGTTATCATAATCCCATTGTAAATGTTATAGATTTGGATATTTCTCCACTCGAAAATGATAATTAAAAGATGCGATCAATTGTGAATTGTAAGCAATGTTAATCAAGTTTGCCTTAAAGATACAGTATGATTTCACTAAAAATCAATTTCTACCCCTTCCTATTTTCATTTCCACATTAAGAAGTTTCATTTCTTCCGCGCGGAGGGACTCCACGCACTATATTTTTTCCTTTTTTTTTGCAGTTGAGACGTAATTAATTTTGTAAAAATAAGTTGAGACAACTAATTAATGGTGATAGATTTAGAAATTTTAAGAATAAACTTTCAAAAATGTAGTTTAGTCAGTTGAAGTTTTTAATGGTGGCTAAATTATTTTACATGTTTTCATCTTGTTTGGTAATTCGCTATGCTAATGAAAGGGAAAGTCTTTAGCTGTAATACTGAGACTCATATGCCATTTTGATTAAATCTTCCTTTTACACAATTGACTTATGGGTATATCACACGATAAAAACTATCAACAACGAAACCAGTAAGTCTACCGTAAAGGCAATCGTATCCTTCACTTTCTCCAAAAATTGCATGAAAATCCTCGTGTGATATAGAAATCACGGTTGCCCGAAATATCAGCAACTGTTTCTCTCAGCTGAGAAAAAAATTGCCTATAAATAAAAGAAACAAAAACTTGAGCCAATCAGATCGCTTGCTTGCAATGATGTTTCAGTTTCATGTGATGACGTTAACAAATGTAAGTTAAAATGGCGACGACGTTGATGAAGAGGATGATCGGATGAAATGTTGAGTTAATTTAACGGATATCAATTCTACATCTTCTGTGATTTTTTTCTCTCCCTTTACAAACATCGTTGAGTAATTATGAGGCAATGTCATAAAATAACAAAACTTAAATACTAGCCAAAAGTTTAGATAAATAGCAGGAAATGGTAATCGTGTTACCAGCAACAGTTCCGGTAATTAAGCAATCCTATCGGCAACTCTGAACTGCGAAATTGCCTTAGTTGCGGACAGAGTGGAGGTTCCGCTTACGGTTGCTCATATTTTTCTCTCGTGTGATATTCGCAATATTATGACACAGTTAGAATTTATTATTCGAAAAATAAATGTAATATAACCAGAAGCAATCTGCTCATACAGTTTACGGTCAATTTTTACAACCGTACAGTTTTCGGTCAATATTTTTACAAGTTTGAAACCGGTATGGTTGAAAAGTCGTACATGTAAAACTGTACCTTTTAGTAACCATTTACAACTATCATGGTTACAAAAGGGTTAATGGAAATTTAATCTGATTTTGCAGCTAGTTTTCGTTAAGCACAAATGGAGTAAGATTGTAGTTATCTTTTGTCAAGTGAACCATGGAATTTGACTTGATTTGTTTATTTATCTAGTTGTGACATCTATCAAGAGAGATTGGAAATGCTAGACTCAAGTATCGGCATTCGGATTGTCGATAATTTTTACCGTAAAATCCATTTTTATTAGAACATATTACGGAACGAGAAGTCTGATATTCTGGGATTTTTCCAGTAATAATAACAGTAAATTCACTGAATCTCTCTAACTAAATAAATATTAATCTTGAAATTACGGTATTACATTTCACGGTAAAAATAGATTTTACAGTAAAATAGATTTTAAGGATGATGCAGTTAAAGTACTTGCAGGTACTTGATACCATAATTTGATCCGGAATTTTCTACTGTGAAGGATGACTGTAATAAACTTAAATTCGGTGTATATAATCATGCTTTAAAAAATTTCTGAAAACAATTACTCATTTTCGATTCGACATTGCTAAATAGCATAAATATTGTATTTTAGGGTAATCAAAAAAAGAATTCTGGTTAAAAATTCGTAGTAGATATTACAGAGGGTTGAAATTAACTCTTAGCATGTATTAGAACAATAGCGTTTTCTGTTTTTATTTTATGGTTTATGAAAATGCCTAAAAAGTATTGACTTAAAAAGCGAAATAATTTTGTGTCGATACCATATTTTCAATATTACTTATAGGGGTAGACTATATTTGAGGGTGCCTCTTGAATCTCGCCAAGTTGTGATCGCGGTTGATCGCCAACCTGGGCGATGTTGATATCCAATCGTGATTCTGATTGGTTTAGATTTTAGCGTTATTTTTAATGTTCAACGGTATATGTAATTTCAGAGGTCCGTTAGTTCTACGCTGGATACCGGCTGGTAAGGTTACTTTTGCTTCTAGTCAATAAGATCGAAGTTATGAGTGCAGTCATTAAAATAGATTCAAGAAAAAAATGTCCCCGCCAGTTTGGTATTACAGACGCCATTTTCGATTCGTATTTCGTCGAATTTATGTGGCGATGGAGGTACACAGATTCTATTCATGATAAATTTAGACAGTATCTAACTGTTATTAGATAATTCTGTGCACTTGAATCTGATTCTGTGCACTTGAATTTTAGAAATGAATGATAATAAATCTTTATGGAACAGTTATAAAAAATATATGATTAATTTATAAGTTAAAGAAATCCCAAATTAAAAAGAAGCAACAATAAGATATTAAGAGTAATTGAATTTTTAGATGCACTTACCCCACCCTATTATAACGTATGTTTTGAATTGGATCTTATCAATGGAAAAAGTCTTTACCACCAACATGTAGAGATAGAGACCTTCCACGAACATCCAAAAGAAGTTTGTAGCCATCAGGTAAGTTAGAGGTATAACAAGAAAACAGGCAATCTGAAATTAATTCAAATTTCATAAAACTAAATTTATGTATGAAAAAAGTTATTAATTTATATACGAAAATGTGTCATTACTTCATGTATGGAAAAAGTAACTGCTTCAATTATAAAAAAAAGGTGTTGTTGATTTGTGCATAAAAAATTGATTTATGTACCTACATTGTGAGAATTTTAATTCTAAAATTATGGTATAATAACCAGATGTAGTTTGTCCATTTAAATAATCGTAACCTTTACGGTAAAGAACGTTTTTAATCTTTACGGTCTTGAAACCGTTTAAAACTAATATCGTTAAAAAAACAGTCAATATAAGACTACATGTTTTTAACCATTTATATTTAGCACGGTTTCAAAACTGTAAAAGGGAAATTTAACTGAATATTGGAACTGAGCTTTTTGTTAGGTGATGGACATTGAAGTTAGGTTGTAATTGAGTTGTGTTATATAAAATGGACCATGCAATGTGGTTTAGTTAATTTGTGTAGTTTTTCACCTATCGTAAGACTCGAGAAATATTAGACTTTTTATGTTAGGCAGCTTAATGGTACTGTCATCTATGCGTGAATGAGAGTATTGCATTCTAACAGTCCAGGGTCACAAATTAGGGAGTGCAAGGCACTTGAAATTCTTCATGGGTTGAAGTGAATCGTGGAATTATAGCGGTAGCAAGGATGGGACTAAAACAATTGTTTCATCTGTTATGAGATTGACACATTAACCCTCTCGACTATAATATGTACCCAATTGCAAGGAACTAAGTGGCATCATTAGATGGGCCTAGTAGGTGCGATAAACTTCTGATTATTTACCCGTATTTGGTGGAAGCAATTAATAAACTATTTTTTTTTATAGTTAACATTTGAATACCTTCTTATTTATGGTTATTTAACAGCTTTATTTGATTATTACCAATCAAATAAATTGTTGTTTAACCATTTTTTCTGAGAAATTTCTAGCAGTGTATGAAAAGTGACATTTATTTCTAATTGAAAAAAGTTCTTAATTTTTATGTGAAAAGGATTATTCATTTATGTATGAAAAAAACGTTACTGAATTAAGCATAAAAATGGTGCTCCATTTTTTAATAAATATAGAAATAAAAATAAAAATAGGAAATAAAAATAAAAATATGACCACCGAAGCCGGCGTCTTCAGGGGGTACCGGCCTCGGAAGTCATGAAACAAAACATTTTCTATTGAGAGAGAGGCCAAATTAAATTACCCCTGAAGACGTCTGCTTCGGTGGTCGTATTTTTATTTTTATTTCCTTCGTTTTCTTTATTGTTATATTTATTCTTTCTTTCGAAATTTCTGCTGCTTTTAAGCGCGTTTCTTTCAAGGATAGTTTTGTCAATTCAGAATTAAATATTTTGTATTCTTTTACCATTTTTTAATAAATTATATGCTAAGAAAAACGTGCATTTATATGTTATAGATGTGTAACTTAACTTACCCTTGCAGCCGTTGGATTTTGATGCGATTGAAGCGTTGCTGTTAGAATCCATGTGACATCAATCAGTAAGTAAGTAGTCATCAAGTTAGTGTGAATTGTATTTCTTAAGCACCTGAGGTCTCTAAAAAGTTGAAATTGTTTTAGTAAAATTAAACATAAATTTATTTTACATAATCAGTCTAAATAAATTAAAAATAATAATGTCTAATAATGAATGTTAAGTTAATAATAATTAATATTAATTAAAGCTGCTAAAATATTTATTCAACGTTTGAAGGATGTTTCATGTTATAAAGGAACAAAATTCCATTAATAAAGTAGAAGAAAAATTTATCACTGTTTTTGTCACATTTTTTAATTGTATATATTTGTATATCACTGACTAAACTTATTACTGGTTTAGTTAGTTTAAAATTTACATGAATTTTCCATAAACAATTGGATTAAATAAAAGGACTTGTAAACCTAAAAATATGTTTCAGTTGTGAAAATTACACCAAGTTTAGAAGTCAGCACCAAGTAACATCTTTTATTCCTTATTTTATTTTATTCAAAATACGTAATGCACTACATTTTGCTTACTTATTTAAAATTTAACGACAGTAAACATATTGCCACACACTTTAAGTTTTTAATTATATGCGACTGCCATAAGTGAAGTTTTATGCCATCAGTCGTATGCTTTAAAGTTAAAACTATGACATTTTGTCACAGTTTTTCCTTAAAAACACTCGACGGCTGAACCGTCATTTTCTCATTACGACATTTTTCACTTCCCAGAGAAAAGAACAGAATTCTTATTCTTCCTAGAATTAATGACACCATTTTCCCCCGATGTATTACTGAATAATTAACAAATAAATGCATTAATACATTTCGCACTGGTAGAGTTCTTTTTAAAAAATTGAAATATACAGTACGCCAAAAAGAAAAACAAATGGAAAACCCTGAATACCTCTCCATCTAATGATTGGATCTTGACGTTCTTCGACTCATTCCTGAGGGCTCGAGTGGGTGACATCAAATATGCTGATTAATAAGTGCGGACGATATTTTAGGTTACGAAATCAGACACAAAAATGTATTTTGTCTGAATGAACATACCTGTTTTTCAACGGATTTGGTTTTTTATTATTATAGGCTACCCCAAAATATAGGGGGTAGCCTATGCATGTCATTAGAAAATATGATTTCCACTGTTTGGTCACGAGAGTGATTCAAAGTTTGAAGCCCTTAATGTGATTTAGACTTTTTGCTCATTTAGTCATATCTGGAGAAAATTTAAGCGAATTGAAAAATTTTTGCCCAAAGTTATAAAATCCGTTTATCCAAAGATTATTTTAAGCAAAAAAATACTTTTTAGTAAATATTCATTATTTTTTATTATTTTATTAAATAATATTTAAAAAATTATGAATTGTAAGGTATAAAATTTTTTACGTTATTTTAAAACATGCAACTTTGCATGGCAAAATACAAAATTTGAGCAAAATCTGTTGATTAGTTCTTGAGAAATCGAATTTTAAATCTTTGTCTTATTTGAAATACAATTTCTCAAGAACTATTCAACCGGTTTTGCTCAAACTTTGTATTTTATCATATAAAATTATGTTATTCAAAATTATGCCAAAAATTGTACATATTACAATTCAAAATATTTTTCGATCATTCTTAAATAAAATAATAAAAAATAATAAATACATACCAAAAGTTATTTATTACATGGAATTTAAAACGAGTTTAATAATTGTGTGCAAAAATTTTTTACTCGCGTAAATTTTCTTGAGATACGGCGAAATAAGCAAAAACATAAAATTAACATTAAAGCTTTCAAACTTTGGAGTGCTCTCTTGACCATACTATTGGGACCATATTTCCCAGATTGCCGCTACCCCCTATATTTTCGAGATCAGAAATCCGAATCTGCTACATAAAAGGCATGTTTTTCAGAAAAGTACGTTTTTGTGTCAGATTTCGTAATTTAAAATATCGCCTGCACTTATTAAATAACATATTTTAGGTCACCCCCTTGAGCCATTAAAATTGAGGGATAGAACATGAAAATCCCATGATTAGATCAAAAGTTATCAGGGTGGTCCTTTTTTTTTGCACACTGTACATGAGAAGTTTAGCCATTATTTGCCTAAATATTCCCTAACATTTGACGGCTATAGAAGTCATTTAAAGCAATGTGTTAAGAACAAAAAAAAGACATACTTGAAATGGAAGAACACAAAAAGGGCAAGACTCAATGCAACTAAGGATATTCCATATCCAACATAGTAAATGGTAGCCGCTTCTTTCATGTCCCACAGAACCTATTTGATAATGACATAATTATCCATAAAATGCAGACATTCAAGAAGATTCTAAAAATCGCATGGTTAATGCAAAGTAAAAATATTTTGAATGTATTTTTGTCAAACATCGCTCTTGTGTGAAAAATATACCGAAACAATTTTATGCTAGATTTGTAGGATTTTTTTAAAAAAATTTGCTTCTCAGCATATAATCTTAAAAACATTACATATTTAAATTTATATATTAAAAAAGTACACGTTAAAGTGATTACAACGTTTTAAATTAAATGTTTAGAAAGCGTAATATATATTTACATAATCTACGTATACAAAATTATCCATTATGCTTATTGTCAAAGGGAAGTAAAGCCTAGACTGTAACAATACAGTAATGAGTCTCGATAAGCAATAGAAGTGCTGTCGGGAGACTATTTTGTTCTTGTTTTAAACATCTTCTTACACGTCTTAATAGTGACACAAAATTATAAAAAATCCATGAATTAACTAATGGCATGTACTTTAAATGCCTTAAATGTATTACGCTGACATCTTACGTGTTATTAGATCTTTCATAATTTGCTGTAGTCCAAGTTTACAATTCAGCAGTTCAAACTTCATTGGTCAGTTACATCACTAGATTCTATACTTATTGGCAGTTAGAATGTGTGAGGAACCGATGCTCATCTTTTATAGATGAGCACAGGCTTATCGGATAAATAGTATCGAGGTATATTGTAACTCAGCGTGTCAACTGCTAACTCGTTTTTATATACAATACAACCTCATGGCTGAAAGCTCTTATATAGCAAGACGGTAAAGAGCAAAAACTGGTACGAATAGCATTTAATTTTAGCATTTTCTCGAGAAAAATTAAGTATCTGTAACTATCAAGATTTCTTTTTTAGTTTTAGCATAATTATGAAACTGTTTCTTTTCCAAGATAAAGTAGATATTGTTGAGTAGTTTAAAAAAAGAATAAATAAACTCCCTCCGAAAGTTAGAAATAACTGAAATTATTTTACTACCAGCCTTTCCTCTTTTCCGTCTCGCTTTCACACCTGTACTACCTAGATCACATAAATACATACGAGACTAAATAATAGTTTCAAATATTTTGAAGGTTCAATAGTTTATTTTTTTAAGAACAGTATTTTTCTAGTTTTCGTTTCATTCGGAAAATTTTCCTCATCTGCACATGAATGTTAATTGAATTTTTAAGTACGCTTTATATTAAAATTTATGAATATACGCTACTTGGAGGAAACATTGATTCAGTGCGTGAATTAACGTGCAAAAAATGTTGTAAGTTAAGGAACTGAGTTAGGAAAATGGGTCAAAAAATAAGCAAAGAGAATAGGAAAATAAAATTTCATTAAAAAAAATATCGATTTAAAATCACAAATAATAAAAATTGATTAAAAACCTGTGCCAGTTTTGACGTCACAAAGATACATCTACATTGTGACATCGAAACCCTTATGGTTTTTTTTAATAAATTTTTACTATTTGTGATTTTAAAACTTTGTTTTTAAAAAAAATTTAACTTCATCACAAAGAATTACTTTGTATTTTATAAAGAGAAAAGAGTTTTGCACCTTACTAGAAATTTTGGACTCTTTTGAACCTTAATATTATACATTTTAGCTCCAAATTATATGGTTCTAAGTTGAAGCATATTATCAGCAAAATAATTAACTTTTAAATTTGATTACAGATTATTATTCTTAAAGTTGAATAAGGAGCAAGGTTTCACTTAATACCACATTAAGAGATATCGAATTTCTACTAAATTATGGGTCAAGGATAAATATAACACTTACAGAATTGAATTTCTTGAGAATATAAGGTATGATAAGTATTTTAAATAAACATGATTAAAAGTTGATTTGATTTATATAAAGTATATATCTATTATTTTCTTTTAATTTCATTGCATAAAGTTTTGCATTAAATTAAACCTCAAAGTGCAATTATTTATAATCAGTTTGATTTAGCAATGTTAAAAATTTTGGAACGTTTTAAACAATAAAATTTTTTTAAATGAAATAAGGTGCCAAATTGTACCGTATTATAGGGCAAATTTACTATTCTTACGAGATTTCTTTAAACTAAATATCAAATGAATTTAAAAAGGATTTTTTTCAACACCTAATGAATGTTACAGGAATTTGCATGATATAAATGGTTTAAAATACCGGCATTAAATTTTAAAACTGAACCAATTACTCAGTATCTAATTTTAAGATATGAATTTAAGAAAAAATTTCAGTGCACAAGGAATATAATTTAGCTTCTAAGTCTCGTTAATTGAAGTTCTGAGTAAGATAATGATGAAAGATAAATCAAAGATATTCACAGTTAGGAAAAAAGTATAGTCAAAACTACCACGATATGGCAAAATTTACCAAGTTTCTGGCTATACGGGTATATTAAAATGCACGGCAATTTTTATCAAAGTGCTTTGGTGATGATTTTGGTTTAATTAAAAAAAATATGGCTTTATAATGCGTGATAAAATTTGGTAAATGTGATAATACTTGGTAATTTGATGATATTAAAGCATGGCAAAAAGAAATATTCGGTCAAATTATCTCTTTAGTTTTGTATTTTCTGGTTTCAAGAAATATAATTCTGAGTACCAGATTTTCGGGTAAACTGGTACGATTTACCAAATAAATGATCTAAATACCGTATATTTTGGTTTTATTAAACAAAAGTTAGCCAGAAATACCATTTGCCAGAATTTTTTTGCCAGAAATACCATTAAAGTACGGTACATTATCTGGTTGGTTGGTTGGTTCTAATGCCACATGCCATTCTAACAAGCCTGCTTGGTGAAACCGAGCTGATTCAAGGCAGAGGGTGCGCTTCTTGTTTTTCAGTGGCGCCATCTATGGCAAAAGAATTCGACTTCTACCACATCATACGTCACACCGTATATTTAAACGGTACATTATCTAATTATGGGTCAACAAAAGATAACAGCTCTTATTTTCGTTAAAGATTTATATAATTATTTAAAATAAACAGTAAGTATGCATAGAAAAGGAAATAGTTATTATGAGAAATATAAAATGCAATACTTGAAAAAACTCTTCTTCGTGAAGATTAACTGGTTTACACAATCTGTAATTTGACCAATCAGACCAGGTTCCATTACCAAGACATTGGCGGCTTGCATTAGCTGAAAAAAGTCATTTCATAATTTAAATTAATAAATTTTTCAGAGATACGTAATGATAAAAGCTGTTTCATACCTTTTAAAAAAACATCCCTTTAAAAGCTGTTTAGTGATTTATACTCACATACTTAAAAGATTTAAATTATCACGTTCACATATTTAAATTACTAGTTCAGAGTAATATTATGTTATTTTAATCGAAAAAACGTATCATGTTCAACTTATTAAACACAATTTTATTAATCTTAACTTCAAAAATTTATGGAAATATCAAATGTGATTTTTCCGCTTATTTATCTTTAAAGAATTTGTAATCAGGATAAGGTTTTATTTGTTTACTTGAAGTTGCCACCAGAAAACCTTTACAAAAATGTGTTATCAATTAAATATGTCTTACCATCAAAGCATGTGATAAATAACTTATGATAAATTATAAGGCTTGAAGGAAACTTTGAATTGAAAATCAAAATACATATAAAGATGCAATTAAAAATTTCGAATTAAACAGAATTTTTTCTAATAATATCATTTTCTAATGAAGAGATGGAGTTTTGAGATATCAGTTAATATAAATTGTGTATTATATTATTTACTAATGTAATATTATCTTTGGATGGAGTATCTTTCGTATTTTTAAAAATAAAACATATTCTGTTTAGGATTTTACGGCTTTGATCCAGCTTCATACTCTGAAGTTGTGGTTCAACGGTAAAGCAGAACGAGAGTTATTTTGCTAGATGCAAATTATTAAAAATAAATTTTTAAACGTATCAAATAAATAAAAAACTCAAAAAAATGAGTGAGAAACAAATTAAATCACTAATATCAAGTCACTATCATTCGCAATCACGTTATCAAGAATCACTATATTATGACCCAAATTAGGGTTTACAACTACCAATGTGCAACTCCGTATCCTAGTAATTTTGAACACGATCCAGAAGACAAGGGAACTCCTGGATCAAGTATTAGGAGTAAATTGCCTTCGTGGAGGACTTTTAGATGGAACTAACCCGCATTTGCGTTACATGGAGAGGCAAACCACGAAAACCTCCACGGTTAGCTTGATAGCAAAGGGACTCTAATCCATGATCCATCTACCACTGAGGATATTTACGTCAGTACGGTGATCAGTACGAGTCGGGGGAGGAATTCGAATCTACCAGCCATCGCTGGGATCGAACCTGGGTCACCTCATTGGAAGGCAAGTGCTCTATCCCCTGAGCAAGAATCACTATAGAAAAAAGTAGAAATGAAATCATTAAAACCTTTCCGAAGTCATTAATCAAAATACCAATCATCTAAGAACTTTTCCCTGCCTTTGGCACTCAAACAGGTTTTGATATTTTCAGTCCTTTCTTCTTCATTAGTGAATTATTTGACGGATAAAAAAGTTTCCGATAAATTATTAATTTGCTGACTCTTTGTGTATACACTTAATTTAACTTTAAGCTTAATTGGGATTCTAAAAACACACTGAAAGCAGTTATTCCCTAATACTTGAATACTCCGTATAGCGCATACGAAGTACTGCAAAAAAAATTCATTATGATGTTTCTTTTTTATTTTTCAAATATTTCATTTTGTTCCCGTTCTTATCAGCTAGGATAGACAGCAAATGTTTGTAAGCAATATTGCTAGGAAATTTTTTTGTTTTAATGAAACCAGCGCCGCATTACACCAGCTCCGGCTCACACTAACCATAGTGCTGACATAAAATATCCTCAGTGTTAGATGGATCATGGGTTAGAATCATCTAATTTGGGCCACTGATCTAACCATGGGAGGCTTTCGTAGTTGTCCTCCCCAGGTAACGCAACGCGGGTTAGTCCTCCACGTCCTGCGAAAGTCCACCACGAAGGCTAATTTGCATCAATGCTTGATCCAGAATTTCTCTTGTTTTCTGAGTTGGGATAAAAATTACAAGGCTACGGAGTTAAATATTCATAATCGTAAATTCAGAGTCTGGTTGGCTGTTCCACGCCGATAATAAAATAAAACACAGTGGAATCATGGTTCAACGTTGTCCGTTTCATAATAAATGTGCTTTATTTCTTTTACCCCGATATTATTTCCCCCGTGTGTTATATTTAACGCTAGTTCAATTTAAAACGTTAAGTTAAGGTTCCACTATATAAAATCACATTGAGTTGATTGAATTACAAAATAGACATGAATAAAGGTTTCAGCATATCTAGTATCAATTCTTATAATTACTATTTCAGTTATAGTATTTTCAAACTGCTCATATATAGCTTATTATTAATAATAAATCCTTTCCCATTGCAATTTTATTGATTTTTTTTACCCCTTTCTTATATGAAAGTTTTCCTTTAATTCTAATTTATTCAAACATAAGCGCTAACTATTAGTTATTTTAATTGAGTTTAATGCAACTATTTTTTGATGTTAAATTATGCAGCTAAGGGACCTTAATTGACTGTAAGGAAAAGCTTTGATTTCCATAGATTATTTTCTCTTAAGAAATTAAATATTCAAATTTATCAGACGCGATAAATAATTTTGCTTCAAAGATTATTTACGATAACAAAAAAATGTTTAAAATTCGAATACAAAAATGAAAGAAGTGATAAACACAGGGGAGAAAATAAATATTTTTATCAAATCTATTCAAATTATCAACATCCGAAATTTATCATCCTAATTGATTATGATTATAGCTAAGAATAAAATGTATTTTAAGTATAATGTTACTTACGATACGTTAATGTCAATTTATGCTTTAAATAGACTTAAAAATTTCAATTATTTTCATAAAACACAGTTCAAATTGAAGTATATATTAATGTATTATTTTGAAAACATCGGTTTAATGGAAAATTAACAAAACAGTTTCGAAACGGGAAAAGTATTAATTTTTATTAACTAATAAAAATAAACTTAATACCTATTAAATAATTAAAACAACTTGACATATTTATTTAAAATTAAATTTATTGTTAGAATTTAACAAATAATTGAACGAATAATTGAAACATTCTTAAATATTGATTATTTATTGACTAAGGTTTTTAGTGTTTTATTCCTTGACGAAGCCTTAAAAATCAAAATTTTTCTCTGAAAATAACCTCTTGAGAACAAAACATCACTTAGACATTATCTGGTCGATATTTTGACATCTTTCAGACACTTGCAGGTCTATTCTCATGTCAGGTGATAAATAATTCCATTTATAAATATAGTTAAAATATCATTCGAAACAAAATTTCTGTTAAAACTCTTTCGTGTGGAGTTGTTCTAGTAATAAGACCAATAACGTCATTTACCTAATTTCTTTTCGTACATTTTAGTTTTTACTGTTTAATTAAAAATTACTTATTTAACTCACATTTTTTTAATTCATAATAACTCAGTAAATTTTGTCATGAAAGGACTTACTGTTGGTATCATAGCGCACACCGTTGAATTCTTCAAAACATGGAACCCGGGCAATGGTGCCAGCAGCAGTTGTTGGCCAACACGAAATGCCGTCCCATGTAGAATTGCAATAAACATCTGGAAAAAATTAATTTTCAACATATAATTTCTAATCTCAACATATTACTACTGAAAATGCATTAAATACTGAAATACTGAAAATACACAAAATTGTTGAAACATTAAAGAAATATTGTCAAATTGTATACATATACTGTACAAAAACTCGGTAAAGTTTCTCGTTAGTAAAGTCCCAAAAAAAGTTAGTCTAAAACGTTCAAAACGTCAAAAACGAAAGTCTAAAGTTAGTCCCAAAGTCTAGTTAAATCCAATATCATTTTATTTCAGTTACATCATAAATTGTGAAGTATGATCGATAAATACTTCCATAGTGTCATTGATTGCACAAAAATATTGCAAAAGACCCAAAAGTTTAACGGTGACTGTAAACTGAACAATATTTGTTTACAACGCCATGTTTTCTTTACAACTCGGCCTCGGTATTTAGGTATGACTAATGCATATTGTTTTAAGTTCATTACTTATTTTACCCTTTTTTCTCGCTCCCGTGAAAATGACGGGGTGAGGTCTCGCTCTCTATTTCTTTCTCCCGTGATATTGGCGAGCTGGAGTGTTCAGTAGTAACGCACCAATAAGAATAAAACCAATTCATTTCTTTTGCCCGGAAAACATTTTATTTCTAATTTTACACACCAGATGGCAGCACTAGGATATTTTTAAGGTAATTGTAGATAGTTGGTTTCTTTTAAACTAGATGTTAGCACTAATCAAATACGTAATAAAATACAAAAGCCGAAAATTAGGCACTTTTATGACCGTTTCTTGAAAATTGACCGATCGTTAAGGGGTTAAGTAGGTAAATGGCTTATTTGCATTTATTAAAGTTCATTTCCTTTATGTTGCTTCCTAAATTTGGTGCTCGGTATAAAATGGTTAGAGGTATGTCCTAAAATGACTTCTTACGGTAAATAGTTTTGTTACGGTAAATAGCTACCATGGCCTGCATTTGAGCACGTCAAAAATACCCTAGTAATTCTGGAACCTTCCTCTGCTTTTATAAAAGGAAGAAAAATAAATGAGAAGGAATGAGAATAGGTGTTTTGTTTCTTCAAAACACCTATTTTTGGTGCAACCTTCTACTGATATTTGGATATATATATATATATATATATAGTTNAAATGTTTGCAAAGTATATAACTGAATATATATATATATATATATATATGAATAACCTGTCCAAATTTCCAAAAAAAACAGCAAGAGTAAGCAGAATCCACCGATAACAGCACCCAGTCATAAAATAAATAAGAAGATAAAACACTAACAACATACTAGCTTCTTCAGGGGAACATTACCACGCAGTCAGTGCAGGAGCAATTTCCGCAGGATGGTGGCAAAATATCACTAACTTTCCTAGGCCCTAACTGCTCCCATCACCCCAAAAAAACGAGAAACACGAGAAAATCAAACGAAGATTACATTTATATACCGAAATATTGAAAATTAAAGTAGAAGTATTTATTTATATACTCGACGAAAGATAAAGTCGATCATTAAGATGCAAGTTAAATGCTGCATGTTCGAGTTTTGAGCACGGTACTAGTTCGTCTATTTAATATTGGAACGATTTGAGTATGTCGTTTTCCCAGCTGTAAAGAAATGAAATTTTTTCAACCTTTAATATCCTATTGCGGATATTAATAGTTGCAGTATTTATCAAATTTCGTATAAATGTGGTCTTTCATATATTGAACAAACTAAATGCAGGGTTTAAATTTGTCTGACATCTGAGAACATTGAAGATTTGCCCAAAATCAGGATATTAACCGATCTTCCATCACCCTACATCAGGGGTGGCGAACCTTTATACACCAGTGTGCCATTTTCTCTAAAAAATTGCTTAATGAGGTCATAGACGTGCCGTCAAATAATTTTGACTTCGTGATTATTGGGAAAATAATAATACTAAATACTATCAACTCAAAGCTCTTTATTTACATTGAAAAAAAATACATTTTGCAATGTCTCAGTTATACACTTAATTCGAAAGTAACATCAGTGTGACTTCTGTTGTTGCAGATTAGATGACCAATAACTTATATTAGGTTGTAAGACGTTAGTTTAAGCTGTTGATTTTTTTTGCTAGTTATTTATTATTAGCTTGTTTTTTACGGCTATTAATAGTTTTTTTAGTATTAGTTTTTAATTTTTTATTAATAATTAATTACTTTTATTAATTTTATTCATAATTAATTAATAATGAATTAATTATTAATTTTTTATTAATAATGCTTATTATTTTGTTTGTTTTTTGTGAATTTTAATTTAATTGTTACATATGCTTCATAGCGTAATAACATTTGTGTAATAACAATTCATAGTGTAACAACAATTGTGATCGGTGGAGTGTCCAAAAGTATTGTGTCGCGTGCCATTGGTTCGCCATCCTTGCCCTACATGGTTGGAGTTTTCCTCTTCCAAAATTACTCAATCATCATTAACGGAATGATTTGTGGGAATCATTCCATATTTTGAAAAATTCTAATATTTTAGTTAAACGTCTTTCTGGTATCCCACCATTTCCCAAATTATCCTTCTGCATCCTGGGGTTTCCGCCAAGCCTCCTCACCCTTGCTTCTTATCTCACTTCTTTTGTTGTCCTGCTTAAATTTGTTCCTCTCTCTCTCTATTGACTAACTTTCTTTGCATGCGGTTTCTCTTTACTTCTCTACTGTTATTTGAAGTTTAGATACCGAGGAAGGTTCTTGTTTATAGAACCGAATCTATAGTATTTATACTTCTGTATTTTCATTTGTGCGTTATTCATGTGCGTTATTTAAAGTGTACCCTATGCTTTTTTGATTGGATATAATTTATATTGTTTTATTTGATATAGTTATAATTTGAGGAAAAAGAAAAGGGGATATGTTGAAATATCGTTATTAATTCAAATGCATAACGATGTCTCAATATGGTTAAAACAGGAATTATATGTCACTTTTTGCACTTACTCGCCAATCACCTCCTTAGTTAATTAGCCATCACCTTAGATAACCTCTTAGTGAGATAATAAGCGGTGTGTTTACTCTTAATTTCCATCAAGAGAGATTTTACGGCATTAATAGGTAAGAAATTTTAAAAATTCATAGCGAGGTTTTTGAAAATTTTAAATTTCTTAGTATCACTTAAATTTTAGATTTTCAACTTGACAGTTTCAACATCAAGATAAGATCTTAATTTGTGCTTTTTTTTTCTTTTTTTGTAAGAAAAAAAAATACATTGATTCCTTCAATTTTTTCTTTCATCTTCAAAAGTTTTTAACATTGCAGTGAACCAAGTTTATTCTTTTTAAACCAGTTAGTAGTGCTGTGTGATTTATAAATTTATTACTTTTCCCCCCCTCAGTCAGAATAGTATTCCCCATTATTAATGAGAGTCTGAAAACAATAGTTTATAACCAAAGAATACGGTTAAGCGGTAGGTTTCTTAATGCCCCACTGTAGGGCCTCCAGAGATTTTACAAAATACAGATCCATGAATATTTTCTTCGATGTTGCCTCAAAGAGAGATTCAAATTGCCTATTGAAACAAATTGCAAGTGCGCAAATCTTACGTTATAAGCTGCATGAAGGAAAAAATCTGGTGAAATTAACGAACTGTACAGTANATATATATGAATAACCTGACCAAATTTCCAAAAAAAACAGCAAGAGTAGGCAGAATCCACTGATAACAGCACCAGTCATAAAATGAATAAGAAGATAAAACACTAACAACATACTAGCTTCTTCAGGGGGACATTACCACGCAGTTAGTGCAGGAGCAATTTCCGCAGGATGGTAGCAAAATATCATTAACCTGCCTAGGCCCTAACTGCTCCCACCACCCGAAAAAAACGAGAAACACGAGCAAATCAAAAGAAGATTACATTTATATACCCAAATATGGAAAATTAAAGTAGAAGTATTTATTTATATACTCGACGAAAGATAAAGTCGATCTTTAAGATGTAAGTTAAATGCAGCATGTTCGAGTTTTGAGCACTGTACTAGTTAGTCTATTTAATATTGAAACGATTTGAGTATGTCGTTTTTCCTGCTGTCAAGAAACTAAATTTTATCAACCTTTAATATCATATTTCGGATATTGATAGTTGCAGTATTTATCAAGTTTCGTATAAATGTGGTATTTCATATATTGAACAAGCTAAAAGCAGGGTTTAAATTTGTCTAACAGAACATTGAAGATTTGTCCGAAATCAGGATATTAACCGATCTTCCATCCCCCTACATAGTTGGAGTTTTCCTCTTCCAAAATTACTCAATCATCATTAACGGAATCGATTTGTTGGAATCATTTCATATTTTGAAAAATTCTAATAGTTTAGTTAAACGTCTTTCTGGTATCCCACCATTTCCCAATTTATCCTTTTGCATCCTGGGGTTTCCGCCAAGCCTCCTCATCCCTGCTTCTTATCTCTCTTCTTTTGTTATCCTGCTTAAAATTGTTCCTCTTTCTCTATTGACTAACTTTCTTTGCATGCCGTTTCTCTTTTCTTCTCTACTGTTATTTGAAGTTTAGACAGCGAGAAAGGTTCTTGTTTATAGAACCGGAACTATAGTATTTACACTTCTGTATTTTCATTTGTGCATTATTTAAAGTGTACCCTATGCTTTTTTGATTAGATAATTTATATAGTTTGATGTGATATAGTTATAATTTGAGGAAAAAGAAAAGGGGATATGTTAAAATATCATTATTAATTCAAATGCTCAATATGTTTAAAACAGGAATTATATGTCACTTTTTACACTTACTCGCCAATCACTTCCTTAATTAATTAGCCATCACCTTAGATAACATCTTAGTGAGATAATAAGCAGTGTGTTTACTCTTAATTTCCATCAAGAGAGATTTCACGGCTTTAATAGGTAAGAGTTTTTGAAAATTCATAGCGAGGTTTTTGAAAATTTTAAATTGCTTAATTTCACTTTGATTTTAGATTTTCAACTTGACAGTTTTAACATCTAGATCTCAACTTATGGTTTTTTTTGTAAGAAAGA